TTTCTTGAATTGTTGTCATCTCTGTCGATGCTTTTATGTAGTATTTTCGGTATTATCTGTGCCATGACTTTTATTGTTATCGTTGTTTCTCATCGTCAATTTCATACATTAACGATCATGCTTGCTTTCAATTCAGCCATTGCTGGCATTATTGTCAATGTTACTTGTTGTTGTCAAGCAATCTATCAATTGACAAGTGATGGCAATGATAAACTATGTTCATTTCGAGGTTTTCTTCTCCATACTGCTGCCGGTCTTTTGTATCAAACACTTTGTGTTCAAGCACTTCATCGTCTTTTTGTAGTTGTGTTTGCAACACGACGTTATCTCCGATCAACAAAAGTCATGGCATTTATTACGATCATTCAATGGTTAATTTCGATTACATTTGGCATTCCTGCATTAGTAGTTGGACGAATCGTATATCAATCGGGTAGTCGCATTTGTCAGGTAGGTTTCTTTAATAAAGATTTCAAGTGATGATCTCTGCAAATTCTTATTTTAGGCATCATTGAACGATCTAATTATATTTTTATATTTGGCAATGTTTATTTATTTCTGTCCACTTACTATCATTGTTCTAATCTATATTCGAATTGTTCATTTTACAAAACAACATTCTTTTACAACAAATACTCAACATAGTCCAGCTGATCTACATCGACAACGTCGTGAGCTTCGTTTTATTCGTCGTCTTCTTATCATTGTTGGTGTTATATTCTTTATGAGTTTTCCATATTTGATTTTCTTTCTTCGAGCACAATTTTTTCCTCATGCGGAATCATTACCATATGCACAACGAGTCAGTTATATCTCACTCTCATTCGGATTCAGCATATGGATGTTGCTCAACTTGCTTTTTACAGATCAAGTAAGAAAACATTTAATTAAGACAATACAAACCTTATTACCAAGACTAAGATCTACACGAGTTCAACCTCTGAATATCGCTGACCCATCAATAGAAATTATTATTGTACGAATAACACAAAAATGATGAAACAATTAGTGAACGATCGTATTAATCCTTAGAGTACTATATTGACTCTTGAAGTTTATAAATAATTTTTTATAAATTTAATCATAACAATGTATTTTATTTATTCTCTAAAGTATCTATATTATTATAAAAAAAAGAAGAAAATCTTCCCCCTGGTCCAACAGTTTATTCAATATTCCGCCATTTATTTCCATTTCGTAAACATTGTCAAGAAACTTTATTAAATTAGTTTCAAAATCGTCCATGTGATATATAATTTATTGATATTTTTGATAAAATTTAGTAATTGTATTAAATAATTATGATCTAATAAAATAAACATTTCTTGATGATAATTGTTCAGCATGTACTCAACCATGTATATTTGAAGAATATTTTCATCATAAAAGTTTAACTTACATTGATTAATTAATGTTTGCTCTTTTCATATAATTGACATTTGTATTTAATACATCATGATTATAAAGAAAAAATGATCTTTGTGCTATAAGGGGGTGTGGGTGTGGGTATGACTTGGAGGTAGTTGAAAAGAACATAATATTCACACCAACACTCATACCCACATTTCAGGTAGTTGTTGGAGATTTTTGATAAAAGTATTGCCGATATCCCATAGAATTGGAAGTAATTCTTTTCATTGAAGAATACTTTTTCTTTAAATTTACTTTTCTTCTAAGTGTTTGTATTATATCGATAAAATATTACTCAAACTATTTTCCTTTACTTATCAGATACGAGACAAAATTGTATCTGGAATTACATTTAAATGCAATAGTTCTTTCTAATATTGAAAATAATTATTCCTCACAAATATTTCACTCTTTGAAAATATAATAATATCAGTTGAATCGTAACTTTATCACATAATGATCTATGCAGTTTTCAATTTTATTTTTATTGTATTTGTTATAGGATAGAATCAGAACGATTAGAAGAAATAAAAGCAATATTAAATTTCGACTTATTTTTATGTGAATAGATGCATCTGTTATATTTCAATTATATTGACTTAAGATATTATCTGTCTTTTAGAAAATAAAAACACACAGTTTTTCATCATATTCTCTTATTCTAAAATCAACTATGAATACAATCAATATCTACTGCTACGTCGTTTTCATTATTCTCAGGTAAACCATATTGATTTTTATCACTAATTTTGTTAACATTGATTAATTTTATATTTTAGCATAACAGGTTTAATTTCTCTTCTATTTTATATGTTTATATGTATTAGTTTATCACTTTCATAGTTCAAATTAAATCTCAGATATGTGAGAAAACATCTCAGTATGCTGAATGTTCCACAAACAGTGCATGTGGATGCTTTCATATGATAGGTACTCATGATGATACAGGCGTCTGTGGCTTTCTTTGGCCTACATGTTCTCGTCTTTTGCGGTGTGATTCCTCAGACAATTCATGTCTTCAGCCAAATACCATTTGTGTTCACCACCCTCAATGTGATGATTATCCTGTTTGCTATCCAGTTACAATGATTGATCAAAAAATGTGCCCACCAATGAAAAGTGAGTGAATGATAGATGCAACATTCTTATCCACAATCTCAAGATATTTGAAACTATAAATTTCATCTGTTTTAGATAAGATCAATCTCAAATGGAAACAAAATGCCATTACTGTGGGTGGTGGAAATGGAGAAGGACAAGAATTAGATCAACTCAAGTTCCCTATTGGAATCTTTATTGATGAAAAAAGAAATATTTTCATTGCTGATTTTAGGAATCATCGTATTGTTGAATGGAAATATAATGCAAAGGAAGGACAAATTATGGCAGGTGGAAATGGATATGGAAATCGAATAGATCAATTGCATGCTCCAACATATGTGATTGTTGATCAACAAAATCATTCGATCATCATTACTGATCAAGGGAACAAACGAGTGATTCAATGGTTGAATCTGAAGCAACAAATTCTCATTGACAATATTGACTGTGGCGGCTTGGCAATGGATAAATATGGATTTCTTTATGTTTCTGATTATATGAAGAATGAAGTGAGACGATGGAAAATGGGAGAATACAATGAAGGAATTGTAGTGGCAGGTGGAAATGGATATGGAAATCAACTCAATCAACTCTATGATCCTGCTTCTATCTTTGTTGATGAAGATCAGTCTGTTTATATATCAGATACAGGTAATCATCGTGTGATGAAATGGAGAAAAGATGCAAACGAAGGAACAATTGTGGCTGGAGGAAATGGTGGAGGAGGAAATCTCAATCAATTGTCTAAATCTTCAGGAGTAATTGTTGATGGTTTGGGCCAAATCTATGTGGCAGATTGGGGGAATAATCGAGTAATGCGTTGGTGTGAAGGAAAAGAAGAAGGTGAAATTGTTGTTGGTGGTAATGGGCAAGGAAGTGAATCAAATCAATTATATGGTCCCGCTGGTTTATCTTTTGATGATGAAGGAAATCTTTATGTTGCTGATCAGTCTAACCATCGAATTCAAAAATTTGAAATAATTTTGTGAATGGATTTTTGATTTTGAAAAAGGGAAAAGAATTTTTTATTGAATAAATAATCGGGAATTAAAAAACATGAAGTTTTATTATTGAAAGTCAATGAAAAAATGGAATACACAAATGTGAAATTCTTCGTCTTTTGCTAATTTTATTCGAATTTTACAGAAGAGAAGAAAAAAAAAAGAAAATATCTTCTAATTTCAATTAATTTGAATTAAAAATTATTTGAAAAGAAGATTTTGTGTTTTAGAAAATGCTATTTATAAAATTGCCTAAAGTTGAAGGAAAAGGAAATGTTTCATGAAAACTTAGTAATAAAAATCGAAATGAATTTAATTTTGTTGAGTAAAACAAATGTTGAAAAGATTTTTTAGATAAACATCAACAATTGTGCAAACTGATTATCTTCGATATACACTAATATCAACATTTGAATGACATAACAAATAGATGGAAAATAAATTATAAATTTCATATAAACAGACATATATTATATATTAGTATTATTTATGAAAATTTTTCAATATTTAAAATTTATTAAATAAATGTAATCATAGATATTCAGCGTAAATAATAATCCACTTAAGAAAATCAATCGACATTGTTTCATTTGTATAGTTTTAATTAAAAAATGAATATATGTAGAATATAGACGATTCATTATAAGAGAAAATATTAACACGTATACATATATCGTTGAATAGAGGAAAAGAAATAATAAAGATTTATCTTTGTTTTCAACAGAACGAATTGAATACGGAATAAAAAAATTGAAATCTTTTATAGAAATAAATAATATTTATAATAGAAAACTTAGGGATGTGCAGTACTAGTGAAAATACTGAAAAACGGACACTTAAAATATCAGTTCGATGCCCACCGTACCACTGAAAATATCGGTATCAGTGTTCACCGAACACCGAATATAAGTGTCGATGAACATCGTCGTCAGTGAAAGTCAGTGCGCAGTAAACCGATACTGCACATCCCTAAGAAAACTTGTTATTAAAATCTCTTTGATTTCTTAATAAATTTTTTATTGAAATTCGTCACTATATTTTTGATGACTTAACAAGTAAAAAGATATTTTATAATTTATTTATTGAGTTTTATTCAATTATTAACATCTAGAATTGACTAATGATTAATTCTTCTATTTATCTATTGAAGATTCTTGTTGATTTTATATGAAATTATTTAATCCAAACATACCATATCACTTATTTTCTTAAGATCATCTTATTCAATTTTAATATTTCCTTTGATATTCATATCGACTTATAAATATTCGTTTGTTTTTCAATATTAAAAATCTTACGAAATTTCATTTTCATTGAATCTTTCTCATCATGTTAATATTGGTATGATTTTAACTTTATTATAATAAATCACGTATGAATAATAATATTATTTTTGATCTTTCAGTTATTATTATTCCATTAAATTTTCATAAATAAATATATTTGATTTATTTATCTTTTTTAATTCAAAACAATTAAATTAATTCATATCAAATATTGATGATTATTATTATATTTAATCATTACAAACGTTTAATTTCAACCATCACAGATATTTAGTGTCATTATTTTTCTAGAGCTTTTCATAGTAAATCTTTTAACCGAGAAAACATCAAACTTCTATTATGTATCGATGCTGAGATATGTAAAAAAAAACGTTTTGGGATATTCGATTAATTATAATTAAATTTGGTCATATTTCACTTATTTATTTCAATAGTTTTTCTTGTGCAAATCAAATATATAGTTGGAAATAAACATATAAAACATCAAATGTTGTTCTTTTACAAAATAGTTAGAAGAATTTAATCGATAAAATGGAAATTCAAAGTGATGTCACAGTCTTATCGACGGTCGAAGAAAAAGATGATGTTTAGAAGGTTAGTAATAATTCGTTGGTTTAAAAACAAAACGTAATTATTTATACGATGAGTAGTGATTATTTCTATCTCCACAATACAATGTATTCTGGGTAAATACCTATGTCATATACTTTTGTTCAGATCTTGAAAATCGTACATTTCGATTTAAGTCAAAAGAGTAGAAGAAAAGAATACAATACAATCATATATAAAAGAATAGAGAAGAATACTATATGGTGACAAATGGAAGAAAATGGCATGTCGCCATATGTGGTCAATGTGGTGAAAGAGTAATTTATTTGTTCACTTACAAATGGTATAGACTGAATTTATGTTCATATCGACACAGAGATGTAGTCAGGAGTTTGTTAATGGGTGTGCCCGACGTACCCAGCGGTATGCACAGCTGCAGAAAAATATTTTTTTGTTTCGGGTGGAAGAAGTTTTCCCAAGGGGTGTACACGTACACCCTTTGCACACCCCCTGGCTACGCCTCTGTATCGACATGATTACAAAATATCACTAGTTTAAAAATACAGCTTTATGGAATTGTTTCATTTTGGTAAGTTAGTCTTTTGAAATAATATAAAAAATAGAACGACACACAATCACTATCTTGAGAACGAAAGTGATGACAATAATTACAGTAAGACTAGATGAAAATAAGCAGGACGATACAATTGAGTGAGGTAAAGATTAGTATATCATTCATCTGGAGAATAATTGAAACGAAATTAATTTCTAGTTTTAGTTCAACTATCTTACATATCACATCAGTTTTATCAGTGAGATTTCGATTTCTTCTACTACTGTACAATGTTTTTATTATCATTGAGTTATTAAGTTTACATCTAGAAAAGAAGATAAATAGATTATTCATTTCTTTCTATATTTTTGTAAAGTATGTCTGAAAAAACTTTTCTTATATTGATTTAATAGGACATCGTCAAATATTAAATAATGAATTATATCATATCGCCGATGAATATAATGAATTTAAACAAAGAATTAATGAACTAAAACAAAATCGACAAAAACCTTCATTATTAAAACAAATTAATCAATGGGAAATAAATTCAAAAAAAAAGCACCAGAGTAAAGAGTAGGCTTCATCAGATCGTCACAAACATGTATTAATGATATTGAAATGAAATTTAAAGATTTGAATGAACAAATAAAACAAATTCACAACCGTTAATTAACGATATTTCAATTATTTCATCAAAAATTAAGTTTTTAAGAAATAATTTCTAGGAGAATAATTTTCATTTTCTATGAATTTATGTTACAAAACTATAAAAATAAAGAAAAGTGATGACGAAGAAGATAAAAACGACTTGATTTATTTATTAACTATATCAGTAATAATACTATTCATAAAAATAGAAAATTCAATTTATTTCTATGTAAAAAAGCTTTCAGCGCAATCCCTTCGGGTTTAAAAATGTGAAACACGATGTAACTGGTGTTGTTTATGGGAAACATAGCTTATATTTATGACTTTGAAGCATACCTATTGTAATTAATGTTGTTTCATCGTTACCTCTGTCAAAGTTCCTGATAGTCCTTGTAGGCCTGCCGATCACGTTCTACGAAGCTTTGTCGGTAACGGTCTGTGATGGTCTTTGAAGTCCTGTCGGTCACGGTCTGCGGGGGGTGGTCAGTTTTCTACTCTTAAACACTTCAACACTCCTTTTAGATCGTGTTTCACAAATTTTTTTTTAACTTCTTCTGCAGTCGAGCAATGTTTTTGTTATCATTGAGTCATTATAAGTTTATATTTATAAAAGTAGATAAGAATATATATTCATTTCTTCTACAGACTTCTATTCAAGCACATGGCAATGGCAAATAACAATACACTATGTTTTATATGTGATGAAGAAAAAATAACATATCCTTGTAAAGGATGTTCAAAACACTTTTGTTTAATGGATTTAACAGAACATCGTCAAATATTAAATAATGAATTACATCATATCGCCAATGAATACAATGAATTTAAACAAACAGTCAATGAACAAAAAGAAAATCCACAAAGTTTTCCATTAATAAAACAAATTAATCAATGGGAAATAAATTCTATTGCAAAAATTCAACAAAAAGCACAAGAGTACAGAGAAACTGTCATTAAATCATCACAAACATGTATTAATGATATTGAAATGAAGTTTAATGATTTATCTGAACAAATAAAACAATTTTATAAAGAAAATAAATTCAATGAAATTAATTTAAATCATTTAAGAAATCAATTGATGAAAATGACACAGGAACTAAATAATTCATCAAATATGTCTATTCATCTAAATTCACAACCGTCCATTAATGATATTTCAATTATTTCATCAAAAAGTAAGTTTTTGAGAAATAATTTTTTGAAGAATAATTCTCAGTTTCTATGAATTTATCTTAAAAAACTATAAAAACAATTCAATATACTACTGATTTATTTATTAATTAGATCAATAATAATAATACTATTCGTAGAAATAGAAAATTCAACTTATTTCTATGTAAAAAAAAGAGTGATAAAATATGAAAGAATACTAAATTAAACAAGAAAGATTTTTCATCAAAGATTCGAAAGATATGTTTAGTTGATAAAAACAAAATTAATAATTAAATCTTTTTCTCGTATAAATTTTTATTTTATTTTCAAATTAACAGAAAGAACAAAGTCAAAGTTTCATTGAAAACTAATCTTTCCTTTTTTTTCTTCGATTAAAAACAAATTTTCTTCTTCTTTTTATCAAAACCTTTTGTTTTCATCATTTGCTAGTATCGAAATTCAACAAATGGAAACAAAATGCTATTACTGTGGCTGGTGGAAATGGAAAAGGACAACAATTAAATCAGCTTAATTATCCTGCTGCAATCTTTGTTGATAAAAATAAAAATATTTTCATTGGTGGTGGTTTTAATAATCGTATTGCTGAATGGAAATATAATGCAAAGGAAGGTCAAATTATGGCAGGTGGAAATGGGCAAGGAAATCGAATGAATCAGTTGAATGGTTCAACAGATATGATTGTTGATCTGCAAAATCATTCGATCGTCATTGCTGATCGTGGAAACCGTCGAGTGATTCACTGGTTGAATCAAAATCAGAAAATTCTCATTGACAGTATTGACTGTCGTGGCTTGGCAATGGATAAACATGGATTTTTTTATGTTTCTGATACTAAGAGGAATGAAGTGAGACGATGGAAAATGGGAGAATATAACAACAAAGGAATTGTCGTGGCTGGTGGAAATGGAAAAGGAAATCAACTTAATCAACTCAATTGGCCTACTTTTATCTTTGTTGATGATGATCAATCTGTTTATGTATCTGATTACGAGAATCATCGTGTAATGAAATGGAGAAAAGATGCAAAAGAAGGAAGAGTTGTGGCTGGAGGAAATGGTGAAGGAGGAAATCTTAATCAGTTGTCTTCACCCCAAGGAGTAATTGTCGATGATTTGGGCCGAATCTATGTGGTAGATTGTGAGAATCATCGAATAATGCGTTGGTGTGAAGGAAAAGAAGAAGGTGAAATTATTGTTGGGGGACATGGGCAAGGAGGTGGATCAAATCAATTATATGGTCCCGCTGGTTTATCTTTTGATGATGAAGGAAATCTTTATGTTGCTGACCAGTTTAACCATCGAATTCAAAAGTTTGAAATTTTCTGAAAAGAAAACAATGAAGAAAAATCTTTTTGGTTTTTTCATCTAAATTGAATTTAATTTTATAATTTTAATTAAAAATTTCAAAAAATAAATGTTGTATTTTTTTACCTTGTGTTGATTTTTGCAAGGGAAAAGAAAAGAAAATAGCTTGTGATTTGACTTGAATTCAATAAACGTTATTTGAAATGAAGATTTTGCCTTCGACAAAATTTTAGAATTTTTCAAAATTGAAAAGAGAAAAGAAATGTTTGACGAAAAATTGATAATAAAAATCGAAATGAATTTTGTCGAGCAAAATAAATGTTGAAAAGATTTTTGTTTAATAAATTAACAAATTTTTATCATTTTCCAATTTCATATTTTTTTGTTGATTTGATGTTTGAAGAAAAAAAAAGTTGATTTTTGCTAAAATTTCTTTTGTTTAATTTTGAAATAACTTTGGAGAAAAATCGAATTGAAAACTGATCTCTCGAAATGAAGTAAATCAAAAGAAATTTTAAAATAAATCGATGAACATTTTCATTTCGATGAAAAGAGAAAAAAAGAGTTATAGAAGAAAAAAGAACAAGAGATTGAAATAATATGAAATTTAAATTTGATTTTTTGTTTTCAAATCAATGAAGTTGTTTGTGAAAAAGAATTTGAAGATGTGACTTTTACTTTTTCATCCATATTAACAATTCAAAGTAGAATTTGTCTAGCAAAATGTCTGATTAAAATAGTTGAAGAGATGATCGAATAAATAATTTGAAAGATCTTTGTGAGTAACAAAAAAATGCATATTATGAAATTCTAATTAGTTGAAGTTGATAAACATTTAATAAAAATGATTAATTTTCATGATGAAATCAATTTTTTAAATATTTTCAGATTAATCTTTCGACAATACATGTGTGTGAGGAAAAATATCTTTTGTCCTCAAAAATAAAAATTATTTATGTAATTTGAGACTTTGATTTTTTGAAAACAGACCTGTAAAACGTAAGTAATGTTAGCAATAGATTTCCGCATCGAACGAGGTCACCGGAGAGAGAAAGACATCGACTAAGAATGGATAGTTTCATGCAAAATACTGACTGCATGTGGGTATGGATCATTAAGTAATGAATATTCATGTTCAAGATTTTCTTCAGTTAACCATTCAGAATTAATATCATTACTTACAAATAAAACTCTGACATAATAGTGCTCATATTATTAAATGTATTTATATCATAAAAAAAAAATAGAAAACTTGTAGGTTATTTTTATTCTATATGTACTGATTGATCTAAAGCCAAAGACTATTGGGCAGAGATAGTTTTTCGGTCTTGTTGTCGACATAGAAATAATTTCTCTAATAAAATCAAACTTTATAGTTATAGAAAATTATCTTTACTTGTAACTTTATTTTCTCCTGATATGTTTTTCTTTAAATTTGATGTTTATTATTAAATATTTCATTTAGAAAATCATTCAACAAATGAAATATGTAAAGCAAAAGAATACGATGAGATGTAATTGAAAATCTATTTCTTAATTTTTATTGTGTTTGGCTTTCTAAATTAATCCAGATTCATTCGAAATCTTTATTTAATAAAAATTAATCAATTTTATTAGAATGTGTTGAGATCGACTATGTATCATGTAACAAGTGTTATATGTATGTTAAATTTATGTTGGATAATAATAAATTCCAACGAATTCTTGTTGAGTTTTTGTAATTTTCAAAGGTAAATTGTGTTTTATTTTTTCTTATTTCATGATCAGTATCATATTACATGTTAAAAGATAATTTTTTAAATTGTGTTTTTGTAATCCATCGAAGCTATTTGTAAAAGGTCTTCTTCTTCCTCTTTTTTTTTAAATGAAATGTAATGGATACCCATCACAACGTGAGGAAAAAACCCAGTTATACCAATTTCAGGGTTAAAATAAAAAGATAAAGAAAGACTGTATATAAGAAGATGGTTACAGTTTAGCTTTTCATTCTTTTTCAAAACAAAGACGACATACTAATACACAATCAAAGGTATGTAATTATTTCATAAAAGTCAGAGAAGAAGTTTTAAAATATTGAAGATCTATAAAAAAAAGAAGCAGATTTGAACCATGTTTGAGAGGATCATATAAATTTTATTGTTCAATTTTATTTAGATTACGACTGCCAATTATCCTTCAAAAGAAGTTGTTTATAAAATATTCTATAGACTTTGAGGTCTTTGTTAAATCAAAGTTCCATTCATAGCTAGATAAACTAGTCAAGGGACAATCAAGTATGACTATCCTCCATGGGCCCGACGATTGAGATGATAAACGTTCGAGTTTAAGGGTGGGTATCGGTAGATGCGATTACATGTATTTTTGCAACAGCCATACTCACACTCAGTTTTCGAAAAAAAAATATTTCTAATTAAAAACTTACTTATCTAAACTTCTTTGCGCATGAAATGGTGTGCCCCTAATGAAATTCCAATTGTAAGTGAGCTTACAGTTACAGTTAGTGGTACTCGTAATTCTGAGTGTACGAAATGAAGTATTTTAAAAGCATATTCATATTTGTGACTTAGGTCAAAAGAATTCTTTAGTCAAATAGATGTGATCTCTACGATGTGTTCTATAAAATAATTACAATTTTTTAGGCGGAATAAACGAACAATTTTTTCTTAATTGATTTCACCTTTTCAGATCCACAACCAATGCTTGGAAAGTCACTTAAATCTAATTATCAAAACATGGAATCCAAAAGACCTCTTATTAACAGAAACGAAGAAGAAGATATAGAGTTGGCTACAAAACGAACGACTGCATATAATGCATCACCAGAATGCAAAGTAAGTAGTATTGTGTTTAGAGGTGCTGGCTTAGCATTAGCACTATATTATTCTAATGGTAAGCTAGCACCTCTGGTTCTGTTTTATATGAGTTTTGGTCAGGAAAGTAGATGTCTTATGTGCATGAGTGTGCCAGAAAAAGTTACGAAATGGAATAACTATTTTAGAAAGATCAAGAGAACAGGTAATTCAATCTGTATTTTTTTTAAATATTTAGTCTGAATCAGAGAATATTCACAGTATTAAACAATCTACTCGTCCACAAAGAAGACCGTAAGTATTTGATCTATTTATTCGAAATATATCAATCTCATTTTAGATCTTTATTTCATCGGAAAGCAACATTGATATTAACTAACATTGTCGCTGTTAGTCTAATAACTATCATTAGTATTATAATATGGGTAGTTTTCATCAAAAAGGCCGAAACAACAATTAATACAACTATAGCTACAACTGATGCATCGACAACAAGAAACGCAATGGTTACAACGTCGACAACAACAACAACATCAACAATGCTTACTGCGTCGACAACAACAGCAATACTTACAACGTCGACGACAACGACAACAACAACAATGCTTACTACGTCGACAACAACAACAATGGTTACAACGTCGCCCACAAAAACTTCAATGACTACAATGTCAACAACAAAAATAACAATGCTTACAACGTCAGCAACAGAAACAACACTTCTTACAACGTCGACAGCAGAAACAACAATGATTACAACGTTAACATCAAAAACCGCAATGGACACAACGCCCACAGCAAAAACAACAGTGCTTACAGCATCGGCAACAGAAACAACAATGTTTACAACGCTAACTAATTCTCATATAACAACAATGAATGGTAAAGTTTTGTTATAAAAGAAAAAATGAGTATTGATATATTTCTTGGGTCCGAAAAAATAAGCTCCACATCTAAACTCTGAATTTGTAGCTCAGTTACTCATCCATATTTTACATAATGATATCTCAAACTATATAGTCCTCTTTAAAGAAGAATTAATAATAAAAGACAGAAGAAATCCGTTACGGAATGTGAAGTGCTATTTTGAAAACAGAATAATAGTACTCGGCACCCAGAAGTAAAACTCCCAAAACTAAAGTAATCAGTATCAGAAAGTAACAGTTCCGTAATAGATCAATTGTGTTCTATTCTTGGGAATTTTGGGGTATGAGTATATTAGAAGAATCACCCACATCTTCAAAATATTTTATTTCATAGGTCATCTCATTTTTCTTCTTTTTTTAATATTTTAATGTTAGTATAATAAGAAAAACTAAAAAATACAATTTGTTTCTAATTGTAATATTTCAAATCTTTGTTAATTTATTTTATCTCACAGAAATTTTTCAATTCAAATCTATTCTTTTATTGGCAAATAATATAAAATATTTCTTCTTTTCGAATTTTTATTTAACAAAAAACAAATCAACAAAATCTTTTTATCATTTTCCTTTTTTCTTTTCAAAATTTCGATTCGAAAAAATATAAATTTCAAATTCCTTTTCTTTCAAAAATAAAATATTTCTTCATTTCATTTTAATAAATTTTATTCGAAAACACTGACAGACTTTGCCCTTTTTTCTCTTTTCAAAACAATTTATTTTTATTTTCCAAATACAAACCTTAAAATGTTTTGTTCTTTTTCAGTAGAAGTTTTTTTCAAAATTCAACTTTAATAAAAAGAACAAACTCAAAGTTTCCGTGATAACTAATCTTTTCTTTTTTTTCTTCGAGAAAAATAAAATTTTCTTCTTCTCATTAAGATCTTCTGTTTTCATCATTTTCTAGAACCAAAACTCAACAAGTGGAAACAAAATGGCATCACTGTGGCTGGTGGAAATGGAGAAGGAGAAGAATTAAATCAACTAAAGCACCCAACAGAAATCTTTATTGATAAAAATAAAAATATGTTCATCGCTGATTATTCCAATCATCGTATTGTTGAATGGAAATATAATGCAACGGAAGGACAAATCATTGCCGGTGGAAATGGGCAAGGAAATCGAACAGACCAATCGAATGAGCCAACAGATGTGATTGTTGATCAACAAAATCATTCAATTATCATTGCAGATTCTGAGAATAGACGAGTGATCCAATGGTTTAATCAAACTCAACAAATTCTCATTCGCAATATTGACTGTTGGGGTTTGGCAATAGATAAACACGGATTTCTTTATGTTTCTGACTGGAAGAAGAATGAAGTGAGACGATGGAAAATGGGAGAATATAACAAAGAAGGAATTGTAGTGGCAGGCGGAAATGGAGAAGGACATCAACTCAATCAACTCAGTGCTCCTGATTTTATCTTAGTTGATGAAGATCAATCTGTTTATGTAACAGATCGATACAATCAGCGTGTAATGAGATGGAGAAAAGATGCAAAAGAAGGAAAAATCGTGGCTGGAGGAAATGGTAAAGGAGCAAATCTCAATCAATTGTTTGAACCTGCAGGAGTCACTGCTGATGATTTGGGTCAAATCTATGTGGTAGATTGGGGGAATCATCGAATAATGCGTTGGCGTGAAGGAAAAGAAGAAGGTGAACTTGTTGTTGGTGGAAATGGTAAAGGAAATCAATCAAATCAATTAAATAGTCCCTGTGGTTTATCTTTTGATGATGAAAGAAATCTTTATGTTGCTGATAGGGGAAATAATCGAATTCAAAAATTTGAAATAATTTTGTGAATGAAATTTTGATTGCGAAAAAAGAAAAAAAGTTTTTTATTGAATAAAACAACAAAGAAAAGTCTTTCGGAATTTTTCTGTTTTTGAAAACTGAATATAATTTGATAGTTTTGATTAAAAAATCCAAAAACTAAATATTAAAGTCTTCACTTTTTATTAATTTTTGTCGAATCTCATAGAAGAAAAACAAAATATTTTATAATTTGAATTGAATTGAAATAAAAATTATTCGAAAAGAAGTTTTTGTTTTAGAAAATTCTATTTGTATATTTTTATTTGATGAAAATAATCAAACTGTTTTTTTTCTTTTTCAGTTTGATAAAATTTGAGAATGGTTTAAAATTGAAGAGAAAAGAATTGTTTTATAAAAACTTAATAATAAAACTCGAATTGAAACGAATTTTGTTGAACAAAACAAATGTTCAAAAGATTTTTTTTTTAAAAATTAATAATCATTGAATTTGAAAAATGATTTGTGAAAATGGAATCAATGGAAAGAAATTTTATTTGAAGTTTCAAAATAAATCAGTGAACATTTTCATTTAGACGAGAACAAAAAAAACAGATACAGAAGAAAAAAGAACAAAGAAATTGAAATAAAATAAAAAGCAATAAAATTTCTGAGATAATACAAAATTCGAGTTTATTGCGGATTTCAAAGATTTTTGATGAAATGGGGAATTTTTCATCTGATTTCTTTTAATAAAACATACAAAGTGATTTGTTTTGTGTTTGAAAGAAATTAAAATAAATACTTAATGAAAATGATTAAATATCATAATGAAATCAATTTCAAAGTCTGATTTATAAATATGTTTAGATTATTTTGTCAACAATACATTCAGCTTTTGAAGGTGGGTGTGGGTATTCATTTCATTTTATCCCACACCCTCAATTTATATAAGATCGTTTATTTTATGGTTACACATTCTATTTTGAAAATGAACAAAAGTTTTAGGAATCAAATTTCGACACTACAAAAGAGCTAAGATGAATGAAAAATTTCTATTTTCTTATTGCATCTTTTTATCGACTACACAAATTATATAGCTATTCATGCTGCAACTATGCAGTATATTTTATTTTTATATATTGAATGAAATTAGAAGAAAGATATTTATTTTCTACTAAAACAAATAAATGTTTTTGTACAGTCGAATCATAATGTCTTAAAACTTGCTTCATTTTCAAAGCAAAACGTGTGACTATACGAAAAAAACGATCCTATGTAAATTGTAGACTTTTTCATGTTGCATCGTGTAGTATTTTTTAGTTTTTTTAATGCAACTATTTAATCTAAATATGTTTAAGCATTAAAACAGAATACTTCAATTTGAACTGAGACTTTTAGAAGATGTATAAGAATTTCAAATACATTCGTTATACAACAAAAAATATATTTTCATAAATTAATAAAAACAATAACTACAAATTAGAAAGTATATTATATTGTTTTTTGTTTCTATATGATGTACTAAATATGATTGATCAGATTGATTTTTTAAATTTTCTAGATGTTCTTTTTCATAATTCTATGAAAATATCAATAAAGGTTTAGCTGAATTTACTTCTCCTTTATGAATTAATTTTATTCATTGGTGAATTATTGATAGCTATGAAAGTTTATATTGATTCTAAGCAAAATCAAATGTGAATGATATATTTAAAACAAATTGAATTAAACAACCTATATAAACAATATCAGGTAAATGACGTTTAACACAATCAATCGAAAAAATAGTTTTCGTAATATATAGACGAAGTTTTTCAAGTAATATACAAGAAAAACATAGAACAGCACCATAAGTTGTAAATGTATACGTTCGATTATATGTTTAGGAATTTTCAAACGATTATTTATACTTGTTTTACCGATATAATATGGTCTAGATAAATCAATTTCAGATAAAAATTTATATAAATTATTAAGATTAACATATTAATCATCATCAAAACAACGTATCCAATCAAGATTTAACTTTATTTATGTTAAATTTGAATAATTTCGAGTTTTATCAGTTAATAAATAAATATTTGATGAAGATGATCTAAATGTGTTTGACAACGAGATGAAGTATGAATAAATATTATTGTGAGAACAATATTTTTTAATGGAAATAACTAATACTCTGTAGCTGTTATAATTACGAATATAAAAAAAATACTGATTAATATTAAAAGAATTATTATCAGACGACGTCGTAATGTATAACAACAATATACATTGTTGAATCAAATGTTGAAAAGAGAAAGTATTATATTTCATATAAATTTTTAAGACATTTTCCTTCAACTTCAATTTGTAAATATATCTTTGATATCAAATGATTATTATTATTGAAAATAAATCATATTTTCTTCTGTCTTTCGTTGGTATATTCGATGAATAAACCATAAAGAATCGTACTTCAGTACTCTGGAAATTTTTTCTATTATTTATTGAACTGAAACAATTCTTTTATTGAAAAACAATTATTCAATTTCTGTACATAAGGGTATGGGTGTGAGTATTAAATCAAACTAAAATCCATCCACCCACACCCGCACTCAATTGTTATTCAACAGAAATGGGGTCGTAAACAAATCTATGTTTATATAAAAGAACATAATGTCGACCATCAAGTAAAGGTTACCCTTCCACAAAATAATTATAGTACATATCATCTATTCTTTCATTTTTTGAATACATGAGAGTATTTAGATTATCGTCATCTACATGAATTAATGAATATTATGAGCTTTTCTAAATCTAGAATAAATCATGTATTTCGTATTGATTTTTATGCATGTTTCTTTGCATTTTATAATATAATAATCATTATTATATTTTGTTTGTTCTATTTTAGATATACATATAGCCCTACAGAGTATTATCTTGTATAAGATACGAAACACTCCAGTGAAAATTAAAACTCTACATTTAATTAATTATTTTACAAATACATCTAGAAAAGAATAATAAGTGTTGACAAACGAGAGGTTAGTAAAAAGCAAAAGTTGAAACTAGCAGTTTGAATTTCTCTTTTTGTTAAGAGATACGTCGATCTATTTTCGCTAGATTAAAAGAGTGCAATACAATGCAGAATAAAAAAATATCGAGTTAAGTTTTATTTGAGTTTCTAGTTAGTTTTGTCGTCCATATTTGATTTTTGTAATTGGAAAATAAAACAATATATATATATTTTATCAACAACCAGCACCAGAACCAAGACCAGGGCTACCAGAACCACTGCCACAAGTAGTACTATAGGTACAATAATAAGAAGCACTACCATTAGCAGCACAACTGCTAGCAGTACTATAAAAATTAAAACCAGTTGGATAACTATTACAGTAATAAGTAGTACCACCATAAACACAAGCACGACAGTTTGAGCTTGAGACACCACAACAAACACTAGGACTACAAGCAGGAACAGGTGTTGTTGTCGTCGTTGTTGTTTTTGTAGCTATTGATATATAGTATAAAAATATGTGTGTTGTTTTAAAAGAAATTCAAAAAGATCCGTTTTGATCTACTGACCTGCGTCGGTATGATCAAAAAAAAATTCTAGAATTCGGTTATACTCTGATAATAAGACAGTGGACGAGTGCAAATTATAACTATAAATTGATTTACAAGGTAGTCACACCAACTAATACACTTCATGTAAACTCATATCTTACTCATTGATGGGACTTTATAGTGAAGACAAAGATTCTAAACCGTAGTATAAGTGATTTGAATTATTTCTCATTCTATAGTTACAAAACATTAATGTTATCGGACTTTATTCAATCATAGTATCTATTAATATTAACCTTTTCTACTGTAATGAAGAATTACTAAATTGATCACATAGTTCTACCATGTGAAAAGCTTTTTATCAACAACATATTTGTATGATACCGTTAAAACCGGCTGGCATATCCAATATGTGGCTAAGTATAGATGAAATCAAGCCATCAAGAATTGGATTTGTTCTCAGTTCTCATACAAAGTTCTCTGATGTTCTATATACTGATGAGGCAGACCGGATAGCTCAAGCGAAAACTTCTAGATTTAGTTACTTATGCTACTCATCGTTTAGATAACTACATCTAATCTAGCTTATTACTAACTTGTTGTTGTTGTTGTTGTACTTGTCGT